GGAGGAACGTGGCGCTCCACGCGGCGTTGGCGCCCTGGCCGTTGGGGACGGCTGGCCTCGCCGCAAGCGGGGTGAACATCCCTAGCTCGGGCAGACCTGCTGAGGGCGGCGCCCCGCCCGCGCGGAACTTGGCCGAGTCCCCGCGTGGGCCGGCGCGGTGCACGACGGCGCGATCGGGACGGAGCTGGACGGTCACGACCCCCTGCTAGCGGTGCCGCCTTTCCCCTTGCTCGTTAAGGAGCTCAGCGATCATGGCACGATCGCGACGCACGAGCTCGCGGTGAAACCGGGCGTGGCTGGCATGCAGTGGCAGTTGCGAAAAAGAGCTGGCGGTGAAGCGGGCCCCACGCGTGATCAGCTACAGCTCGGCAATCAGCGCGGCACCAGCATGGCGCTGTGGAGCGCCAGTGCTGAGATCGCCACGGAATGGCGGGCGTGCGGCCCCCATAGCAGGCGGCCCGAGGAGGCGCTCGTGGGCACGGTCGAGCACGAGGAGGAGCACGGCGTGGAGGCGATGCAGAATGGGAAGCTCATGGCGGCGGCGGCGGCTGCGGAGGCGGACGACGACTCCGCCACGCCACCTCCTCAGCCAACTTGCGTGGTGGATGGACTTCTGGGAGCGCCCGGAGGACGCCATGAAGGGCGTCGAGACCACCACGAAGTGGGATGGTACCTGCGCGGCCAAGCGCGGCCTGATCACGTACCGAATCTCAGAGCTGGAGGCCATCTACGGGGAGGCCTAGCGGGTGTCGGACGGATCCGACGACGGGGACGACGATGAGGCCGAGCTGGGGCGCTTCGAGGTTCAGAAAGCCCTCGAGTCTGCTTGGCTGCACAGCGGCACGCTGGAGAGCGAGGGGCCTGTCTAGGCCGCCGTGGGGCTAGCGCTTCGCTGCCATTCCATATTGCAGTTTGGGGTGTGTCTGCATGGAGACCCTGGGGAGGGGGCCCGACGACCCCTAGTAGTGGTGCGCAATTGAGGTTAGGGTGGCTCTGTCCTCGCCTATGCAGCGGGCGCGCGCGCGCGCCCGTGGGAGTGGCCATCCCTAGGTGCAGGGAGGCGCGCGGTGGAATCTGCAGGGCGGAGGGCGAGCGCGACACTGCGCCGCCCCTCCTTGGGAGAGCGCGATCATCATCATCATCATCATCATCATCATCATCATCATCATCATCATCATCATCATCATCATCATCATCATCACCACCATCATCATCATCATCATCATCATCATTATCATCATCACCATCATCCATCATCATCATCGTCATCATCATCATCATCATCATCATCATCGTCATCACCATCACCATCACCAACATCATCATCATCATCATCGTCATCATCATCATCATCGTCATCATCATCATCATCGTCATCATCATAATGCGCCGGCCCCCTTGTGGGGCCACCAGGCTGTAGGCCGAAGCTTCGCAGTTTCCTGTCCCAGTTGCAGCTTCCAGTTTCCACTGTTACAGTCTGCTTCTTGCTGCTTACTGTTCCTCGTTGACTTCTTGCTGCTTACTGTTCCTTCTTGATGGACCGCGCGAGGGGGGAGGCCCAAAACGGGCATTTTCACCACGCCCTGAGAGTGTTGTCTGAATTGCTGGGGTGGATACAAATTGACACCCCTCACGCAGATCGGCGGTGTCAGGGTCCAAAAACACACGGGTATTTGCAACATTTCTGAAATTCGGTGGCACCCCTCACGCATATCGGCGGGGTCAGGGTTCAAAAACACATGGAATTTGCCACATTTCTGAAATTTGCTGGCACCCCTCACGCAGATCGGCGGGGTCAGGGTCCACAGACATAAGGGATTTGCCACATTTCTGAAACTCGGTGGCACCCCTCACGCAGATCGGCGGGGTCAGGGTCCCCAAAAACACATGGCATTTGCCACATGTCTCAAATTCGGTGGCACCCCTCAGGCAGATCGGCGGGGTCAGGATCCAAAAACATAAGGGATTTGACACATGTCTAAAATTCGGCGGCACCCCTCACGCAGATCGGCAGGGTTAGGGTCCAAAAACATATGGGATTTGCAACATTTCTGAAACTCGGTGGCACCCCTCATGCAGATCGGCGGGGTCAGGGTCCAAACACATTGGGGATTTGCCACATTCCTGAAATTCGGTGGCACCCCTCACGCAGATCGGCGGGGTCAGGGTCCAAAAACAAATGGGATTTGCCGAATTTCTGACATTTGCTGGCACCCCTCACGCAGATCGGCGGGGTCAGGATCCAAAAACATATGGGATTTGCAACATTTCTGAAATTCGGCGGCACCCCTCACGCAGATCCGTAGGGTCAGGATCCAAAAACATCTGGGATTTGCAACATTTCTGAAATTCGGCGGCACCCCTCACGCAGATCCGTAGGGTCAGGGTCCAAAAACACAAAAGATTTGCCACATTTCTGAAATTCGGTGGCACCCGTGACGCAGATCTGTAGGGTCAGGGTCGAAAAACAAACAGGTTCCGACACTGCTTCACAGCGGCGCCCAGACCTCATGATGCATGGGGCGACGCCCTTACGTATCATCATCATCATCATCATCATCATCATCATCATCATCGTCGTCATCATCATCATCAGCATCAGCATCAGCATCAGCATCAGCATCATCGTCAACGTCATCGTCATCGTCATCATCATCATCGTCGCCATCGTCGTCATCATTATCATCGTCGTAATCAGCATCGTCATCATCATCGTCGCCGTCCTCGTCGTCATCATCATCATCATCATTATCATCAGTAACACCACCACCATTGTCACCACCACAATCATCATCAACACCATCATCATCACCATCACCGCACAATCATCATCAACACCATCATCATCACCATCACCGCTCTCAGTATCATCGTCGCCACCACTACCACCGTCAGTATCATCACCGTCGGTGTCAGTAGCATCGTCATCGCGATCACCATTGCCATCACCATCTCCATCAACGTCACTATCTCTATCACCATCATCGTCATCATCATCATCATCAGCAGCATTTTAATCACCATCGTCATCATTACCATCATCATCATCATCATCACCATCATCATCAGCATCAACATCATCAACATCACCATCATCATCATCGTCGTCGTCATCATCATCATCATCATCATCGTCATCATCATCATCACCATCATCATCATCATCATCATCATCATCATCACCATCACCATCACCATCACCATCACCATCATCATCATCATCATCATCATCATCATCATCATCATCATCATCATCATCATCATCATCATCATCATCATCATCATCATCATTAGCATCATCAGCATCACCACCAACAGCAGCAGCATCACCACAATCGTCATCAGCATCGGCAGCATCATAGCCATCACCATCGCCCCATCACCATGGTCATCACCCCACCATCATCACTGCTTCGTCGCCGCCCCTACCGCCGCCGTCGTCGTCGCCGTCGTCGTCACCATCAGGGCGGGGATCAAGCATCTCGTCGCTGCCGCCCTGCTGCGGCGGGTGGCCGACCTGCTCGCGGAAGGCGGCTCTGCTTGCGGCGGGTGGCCTGCCTGCTTGGGCTTCTGGCTGCCGACGCGGCGCCCCGCCGGCCACCGCAGCCCTCTGGGCGTGCGGGAGCAGCCCCCGCTGAGCACGTCGTGTGGTCCGCCCTGACGCTCTGGTGCCGCCCCCGTCCGCTCGCCTCTCCCGGAGCGGTGTCGTGCCCAGGGTGTGCCCGGGGCAGGGCGTTGCGCGTCGATCTTCGGCCGCTCGTGTTCGGGGCAGGGCCGCTGTTGTTCCCAGGTCGCCGAGCTTCGCGCTCTCGCGCCACGCGGTGCGCGGCCATCTTCGCGCCCCCGCGTCTCTCCCCTGGAAATGGCAACACCTCCGGCCCTGACTACGACGCGCGGAGCGCGATTATCTTCGCGGCTCTTGCGTTGACCCAGCTGTTCACACGCGAGATGATGCAGATCCATGGCAATGCGCTCGACTTCCGAAAGTTCGTGTTCAGGATGCTGCCGCCCAAGTTCCTGATGCGCTCGACTTCGAACCATTCGTGCTCAGGCCACAGCCGCGCAGTTTCCTGCTCAGGATGTTGAAGCTCAGGACGCTGGTCTTCATGCTCAGTGCGCCGCTCGTCATTCAGCACTTTTGTGCGCTCTCTTCTGCAGGTGAGGCGCCAGCTGCCGACACGCTTCTGACTCGTGGTGGAGAGAGGGCTCGTGCCGCTACGCCTTCGGCGATGACTTCTGCGACCGCGCGGGTCGTTCCACCTTCCACGATTGGTGACATCTTGATCGCCAGGGTGCTCCGTGCTCGCCGACTCCATCCCATCGGCGGCGATCCACCCTGAACGCCCGCGGCGGGGTCGCCGCCGCGCCGATGCGGAGACGGCTTCCACATGGACAATGTCTTGCGGTCAGCTGGGCGCTCTGCCAGCGATGGCTGAGGAGTAGAGGAAGCAACGACTGCACAATCACAAACCTCCGACGGTCCGCGCGGATTTTTTTTTGATCTGCGCTGGACCCCCCCCCGGGCACGCGGAGCGCGCCAGGGGCGGCGCCGGAGGCGCCGCCAGGGGGGTCCAGCGCAGGTCTGGGAACTCCGCGCGGACCATCGGAAGCTTATGCTTATGTTTATCTGGTTGATTCTGATGACGACGATGACGATGATGATGCTGATGATGTTTGATGCTGTTTGATGATGCTGATGAAGATGTTAATGCTGATGATGATGATGATGACGATAATGATGATGATGATGATGATGATGATGATGATGATGATGATGATGATGATGATGATGATGATGATGATGATGATGATGGGTATGAAGATGATGATGATGATGATGATGATGATGATGATGATGATGATGATGATGATGATTATGATGATGATGATGATGATGATGATGATGATGATGATGATGATGATGATGATGATGATGAGGATGCTGATGATGCTGCTGGTGATGATGATGCTGCTGATGATGATGCTGATGATGAGGGATGTCGCTCACTCGGGATAAGCTTCACGCGGCGCACGGCCGCCCACAACAGCCCCGATCGAGAGGCGTGTCCTCGCAGGGGGAGGCGCCTGCCTGGGCTGCCTGCCTGCCGCCCTCCGGTGGCCGCGGGCTCCCGAGTGCGCTGGTGGAGTGGCAGTCGCCCCCGCAACGAAAGAAGCACGACCGCCCATCCCAGAACCCCCTCGGGCAACGAAAAAATCATGGCGGGAGGTTTCTCCAACTTGTCGGCCTCCGGGGGCCCTCACCGGGCCTCGGGACCGCGAAAAAACGACTCAGGATGAGGAGCCGGTCCCGGGGAAGGGGTCGAGACCTCGGGGGGTCGACGTAATGAAAACATCATGACGTCGGGGGTCTGGGATGTTGGGCATACACTGGCCTCTCTCTGACGCCACATGTCGCCGCGCCGTTTGTTCTGAACGCACGCACCAAAGTGGACGACAACGGCACCACGGCCCACGGCAAGCCCATGGCAAGCACTGCGCCCCGCACCCCATGGAGACGACGCCGGCACCGTGGCAAACCCACGGCGAGCCCCCTGCGCCCGAGGCGTCGTTTGCCCTGCTGGCCGCGGCGCCCTCCCCAAGACGCAGGGCCGCGCGTCGGAACAACCGGCGCGGCGACACATACGGTCACTCAGGAGGCACGTCTACGTCGCAGAGCGGAGAGGGGGCTGGGAAGGTGCAAGCCACTCCTTGATACAAAAAGCCTTGCCCCGATGTGTGGCCGCCGCGATCGCCGCGGCGACCGCCCAAACCGACCCGGAGGCTTTGGTTCGGGGCCCGACACCACGCAGCGAGGCGCGTGCGCGGCACCAGACGGAGGGTCCCGTCACTGGGCGCGCAGGGGCCTCCACGGGCACGAGGCCGCAGGGAAAGCTGCCATCCTTCTGGGGGCGGGGGCTCGTGGGGTGGAGCTTCCCAGAGGGTGGGTCGACGGAACACCTAAGTCGGGCCTGTCCCCCTGCAGGGGGATTGTCGACGACAAATATAAAAAATACCCCAAGAGTAAGCAAACCATGCTCCAAACACAGTCTGGGGACTATTTTTTGAATATTTTTTGGCCTTTTTTGGGATTTTTTTTTTTTTTCGTCGAAGATCCCCCTGTAGGGGGACGCGCCCGACATAACGGAACAACTTTTGGAGCAACGCCCTCTTTGAGAAAGCTGCCGCGGGCACTCCGCGTGCGCATGGCGCCCCATCCAGAGTGGGCCCCAGCGGGGCACCTAATCGACGTCCAAGAACTCGCCATCGCTCGGACGTCCATGTTTTGTGTTTTTTTTTCGGTTTCGTGCGTGGTTTTTTCGCCAAGTGGTCAAGGATGCTCCTCGATGGCCCTCGCCGAAAGAAAAATGCACACGTCCGAGCGATGCCAAGAGAAGCCCCCGGATGTATCGGGGACGCACGTCGATTAGCAGCGCCGGCTGGGAACTGCACCGGCACACTCGACTGCCAATGTCGAGCGAACGCACTCCGATTTCCTCAGTCGACTTGTCTGGGTTGGCATTCTCTCCATGCCCGAGTGGACTCGCAGGGCTCTCGGCGGGTCAAAGGCCGCAAGGGAAGCTCGCCACCCTTCTGGGGAGCTTCGGCCACCTAGCTTTCGGTCGGGCGTGTCCGCCTCCAGGCGGACTTCGGACGAAACATAACACATACCCCAAACGTATTCAAACATATGCACAAATAGTCAAAGCATCATCCTCCGATTTTTGAAAAAAAAAACTATTTTTGAATATTCCTTCTGTAGAAAGACAAACCCGACCTCAGGTTAGAGGTGCAGGGGAAACTCGCCAACCTTCTGGACTTTGGACGAAACATAACAAATACCCCAAACACATGCGCCAACATAGTCCAAAAATCATCGAAAAGTCGCCCCCGCACTATTCTTGGACTGTTGTGAGTCTTCCTCCTGTAGAGGGGCAGGCCCGACTTAAACCCAGCGCCCTCGACGCGGCCACCTTCGAGCAATGGGCGGCTCCCCTGGCCCGGGGCCGCGCCGCGCGAGGCGCGATCACCGCGGCGCCCCCTGGGGCGATCCAGGGAGCGGGGGAGGAGGACGACAATGAGGGGCAACGATAGGGGGGGATAGGGATAGGGGGGGAAACGTCGACCTGGACTCGGCGATACATCGCCGACAGATCGGCGATAGGCCTCCGATAGTGAATCCCCGCCTTCCTGGGCAGGTTGGGTCTATGGGGCCCCCATCGGCGATCAATGAACGATTGGGGGTCAATGCGTCCCCCCCTATGCCTATCCCCCCCTATCGTTGCCCCTGAGACAAGCACGTGGCAAAGGACAACAACTATTCCAAATCCCTTAATTCTCGTCCTCGTCCCCTGGGTCCGGTTTTCGAAACCGCCGTTTTTGTAACTGGGGGGGGTCCGGCTTAGAAAGGCGCCTCCTTTGGATTAAAGCTGCGGGTTTATTAAGGCGCCCCGTCGAGGACGGTGGTCCGGAATATTAGGTCGCATTTGGAGGGGGGTCCGTTTTTTTGGGGGGGGGGTCGATTAATCAGGGATTTGGAATATTCAGCGGCGTGATGTCGGAACGAGGCCACAAGACGAGGCGCACGTCAAATCGTACACAAGGCCGACACTGAACGGAGAGCGCCTGCCAGCTCGTTGCCCAAGGATCACCTCCGCACGTAGGCGCGCCTCTCCGCCTGCAGCCGCGCGTCCAGCTCCTCGTTCAGCCGCAGGCAGAAGCCCGCGATCGGCCGGCCAAGGGCCACGAACTCGGAGATGTCCCTCTCTGCGTCGCAAAGCTCGGCGCCGCCCTTCAGCCGGGCGAGGATGTGTCGCCGGTCAGGCAGCTGCTTGATAGCCTGCGTGAACGCGGCCCGCTGCAGGAAGCTGTGATGGTTCTGCAGCGTCTGCCTGTAGGCCACCTCCGCGGCGGTGCCAGTCTCGGCGCCGCCGGAGAGCTGCGCGAAGAGCTCCACGAAGAACTCGAGCATGCGGCCGACCCAGAGGTTCGCCATCCAGGCCGAGTCGTCCACGTAGCCCTTGTACCCGTTCCTCTCGTGAACCGGCAGCTCGCTGAGCGCCCACGCGCGGTAGCCCCCCTCGCCAGGGTCGGCCTTCGAGGCGCGGAGCTTCTTCGTGTTGGCCACGAGGTAGGCCCCCATATTGCCGCCCATGGCGTCCAGCGCGCTCGCGTATGCCTCGAGGCCGTCCAGCAGCGGGGCACGACGGACCTCGCGCGGGGTCCCCGCACCGCGGCCCTCCAGCGCCCGCTCGAAGTTCCGCACGGTCGGCCCCAGGAGTCCGGCCTTCCGCGGCGCGGGCGGCGCAGGCGGCGCAGGGTTATCCGTGGCGGCGCCTGCCGCGGCCGCGGGCGCCGCTGGCGCAGCGGCCAGCGTCGCAGAGGGCGCCGCGGGGGGCGCGGCGGGAGCCGCTGACGGGCAGCCGCCGCCGCCGCTGCAGGTCACCCCGGCCGCGCCTTGCGAGGGCTGCCAGGAGACGGCGGCCCCTCGGAGGCCTGACTCCCGAGCCGCCGCCTCAGCCGCCCAAGGCTCCTGTTTGGACGCCCGAAATGGGTACGGAAAGAGTGGGTACAATGCCCAACAACACATGTTGTCCCAAACCAACAGCGGCCGCTGTTGGGCAGGCGGCCTTCTGTCTCAAATGGACACAGGCCACGGCGGCGCGGACAGCAAATCCTGATCAAAATGAACAGGAGCGTCTGTTGGGCATTGTACCCATTCTTTCCGTACCCATTTCGTTCGTGCAGATCCTTGGCGTCGCCCTGGCGGGCATCTCCCGCCGGTCGGGCGGGGCTTGCGGGCGCTTCCGCGGCGCCGCGGGCCTGTCTTCGGCCACGCAACTGCCACAGGCCACCCATGCACGTGTCGTCCTTGGTGCACCACCGCAGGGCCCGCACCTCGTCGCGCACGGCCGCCAGCTCGCCGCCCAGCTCGCCCTGAAGCTCCCTGGCGCCCGCCCGCACGGCAAGCGCCGCGCCCTGGAGCTCGCGCTGGAGCTCCTCGCGCACCTCGGCAAGAATGCGGGCGTGGAGGTCGGTCAGCAGGCAGCGCATCTCTTCCATCGAAATGCCTTGGCTGCGGCCACGGCCGCGCCGCCGGCCCGAGGGCGAGGAGACCTGGGCCACGTGGTCACCGAGGTCGCGGTCTGCCTGCGCCGCGGAGCAGCAGTCGAAGTTGTGCGGGGACGTGTGCCTGTGGCGCGCGGCGCCGCCGCGCCCGCAGCCCGCGGGCAGGCCCATCGAGGCCAGGCACCCCTGCGCAGCAGGATATCCATGGAGGGCGTCCTCCCCCGACGACGCGGGGCTGGAACTGCCCCCGCTCCTCCGCTGCGCCGGCGGCGCCGCACGCCTGGCCGGAGGCGCCATCCCGCCAGCGGCGGCGGGGGCCTCGGGCCTCAGGCTGCTGGGCGGGCCCTGCCACATCGCCCTCCTCTGGGGGCCCGGGAGGGGGCGGCGGGCGGTGCCGGCGGCGACCCTGCTTGAGCCAGGGAGCAGGAGGAGGAGGAGGAGGAGGAGGAGGAGGCGACCCTGCATTGGCGGTGCACCTGCGACGTCGGCAAAGCATCGACGCCGTCGGTGTGGCGAGAGTCGGGCTCCGCATCGAGCCGCATATCGCCGATGCATCGGCGATGCGTCGCGACCCTCCGACCCCATCTGCTCGGACCTCATGTGGCCTAGGCATAATTCCTGCAGTCTGCACACGTCCTGCACACCTCCTGATGCTTCTTGTTCAACGGCTTCGCCATCCCGCCCGCCCCTCCTTGCGCGTTCGGGGCGTCGCTGTTGCTCAGGCTTGGAGCCTCGGCCCCCCCGTTGTCTGGGGAGCGGATGGGGCAGGGCTTCGGCGGTGGAAGCAGGAGCTGCTTTTTTTGGTCCTGGCCGCCGCGAAAACCACTCTGTAGGGAAGCCTTTGCGCATGGCTCTGAGATGAGACTTGTGTTGGCGAGCCGTTCCGCCGCCCCCAGCCTCCGATTCGGCGCTGGACGATCGGCGCTGGTTTGGATCGCCCTCTTGAGCAGGCCTGCGAAGCTCCAGTCGGCACCTTGACAGCTACTCCGAATTTCTGAATGAGCGTGGGGGGGGCGTCACCGCCGCCGACAGCGCCACCGCGCGCCGAAGGCGCTCGCCCGCCACATCGGGGATCCCGCCCGCCACATCGGGGATCCCGCCACAGAGTATGGTGACCTGCACGCCCACCACATCGGGGATCCCGTCCTACGTACACCCGCTGCCGTCACCATGATAATGACCACCAACACCACCATGATCATCACCATCGCTTCCATCATCAGGACTAGTACCACCACCAACACCACCACCACCACCACATTACCACTGACCTCGCTGTCATCGTCGTAATCATTATTGTCGTCATCATCATGAGCATCGTCGCCATCGTCCTGTGCATCATCGTGACCACCATCATCGCCATCATCCTCATCATCATCAGCATCATCATTGTCATGATCGTCATCAGCATCGTCATCATCACCATCATAATCATCATCAGTAGAATCATCATCATCATCATTGCCACGATCACCATCACCAGCATCACCATAATCATCAGCAACATCACCATCACCATCACCATCACCATCACCATCACCATCATCATCATCATCATCAGCACCACCATCATCAGCATCACCATCATACCCATCATCAGCAGCATGATCGTCATCATGATCATCACCACCATCATCATCATATGCATCACCACCACAACCATCAGCTTCATCATCGTCGTCGTCATCATCACCACAATGATCACAACAACCATCATCACCACCAACAGCATCATTACTATCAGCATCAGTATCACCACCAACCTCATCATACTCATCATCACCATCAACATCAGGATCATCATCATCATCACCATCATCACCATCACCACCACCATCATCATCATCATCATCATCACCATCTTCATCATCATCACCAGCATCACCACAAACATTGTCGTCATCACCATCATCATCGGTATCATCACAATCATCAATATCATCATCACCATTACCATCACCATCATCACCATGATCATCATCATCATCATCATCATCATCATCATCATCATCATCATCGCCCACCATCATCATCATCAACATCGACACCATCACCATCATCATCACCATCATCATCATCATCATCATCATCATCGTCAGCATCACCATCATCATCATCATCACCACCATCGTCGTCGTGATCATCATCATCGTCATTATCTCTATCTTCGTCCGTTCCTCGAGGCTTGTATGATCTGGTGCGGTTCGCGACCGTGTCGCCGTAACCAATCAGACACACACGGCGGGGTGCAACATCTGTGTCTGGTCGAGCTGGGGACGGCGCTCGGCTCTACAAGTCGTGCGTCGAGCTTCCCCAACAGAGCCCAGTGTTGTAGCATTTTGATGCTGTGCTTCGGCTCGCGTTACCAATAAGGTTGAAATACCTGCGCCAGGTTCCGGCAATAAATGCAACGGCGGTGCAATGGTCTACAATATCTCAGTCCCATACCCGCTTTTCTTCCCGTCCTTCTCCGAAATCAACGTCGGACATCAATGTCGGAATCGCACAGTTGTGTCGTGTTATTGAGTGGAGAATCCGCCTCTGCTGGGCATTGTATCAAGTTCTATTTCCCATCGTCAAGGGTGGTCCGATTCTTCTGCACGGCCAAAGTTGGTGGTTGGCATCTGGGCATCGGGTTGCGGTGTTGGTGCCGGTTGCATTCGAACGAATGCTCCTTCTCGACGGCGAGGAGTGCGGATCCCTGGTCATCCCTGGGCCTGGGTGATGCCGCCTGTTGCTACTAAATGGGAAGGGCGACCCAGTGCACTTTTGCAAGATGTCGCGCCCATTGTCGTCCTTTCTGCCGCCTCTCGTTGTTGCAATATCTCGGCGGAGTCGTTTGGCTACCTCGCGGTCACTTTGCTACTCTACCTGACCATGCTCCTTACATCAACGACAATCCATGCGACGACACGTGGAGCGCGCCGTCTCACGCTTTCAGTGGTCTTCAAGTGTCAGTCTACTTAATGTCAGTGTTTGGCAACTGGGTGGCCACCATACTCGATAGCGTCGCTTGCACTGTCAGGGACTGCTTTGTAGGAGCTTGCTTCAACGTGGAGTGCTCCATCGCGGGTGTCGTCTTCGTGGAGTGCTTCTGTCTTCATGCAGTGTGTCCTCGTGGCGTACATCTCGGAGTGCTTCAGAGGGCTTCACCGCGGATGTTGCCTTGTTGAGGGCTCCACAGTCTTCTTGCGAAGCCTCGACATGGGGTGCTTCATTGTTGCGGTCGTCGTTGTGGCGGGCTTCATCCCGGAGTCCACCTTCTTGACCTCGTCACCGTGACGTGCTTCGGTTGGGGTCCTTCTTCGTGGAGTGTTTCACCCTGGAGTGCTGCATCTCGGGGTGCCTCGTTGCCGAGGTTGTCTTTGTAGAGGACGCCATCAGGGAATGCTCCATCACCTGGGAGTGCTCCATCCGGGAGTGATTCATCTCAGTGGTGGTGTTTCTTTGGGTTCCCTGCCACAAGGATTTTCGTCTCGGAATTTGTCGTCGCGGCGTGATCCAACGGAGAATGCCTCTCCGTGGGCTGTTTCAAATGGCGGGGTGCTTCATGGTGGAGGGCGGTGTCGCGAGGGTCGCCCTCTTGGAGCGCTCCATCTACTTGGGGTACTTCGTCGTGGAGTGCCTCATTGTCGTGGTCATCTTCTAGGAGTGCGTCATAGCGGAGGTCGCCTTCTTGTGCGGCTTTGTCGCAGTGTGCTTCGGGGAGGGCGCTTCCTCGGGGAGGGTCATTTTTTGAAGGGCATCGTGGCAGAGTGCAACATCGAAGAGATTGTCTTCGGAAAGGACTTCGCCTTCGCTATCAGCAGATAGTGCTCCAGCTGGGAGTACTTGTGGACTCTTTCGTCGTGGAGGCAGTTTTCGCGGAGTGTTACATCGAGACTGCATGTGGAATGCTGCATCGTTTTTCTCACTTTTGAAATCGATGCCTTTCTGCGGGCATCATGCTCATCTGTTTTTCGGGCCTGTATGAGCTGGTGCGCTTTGCAATCGTGTCGCCCCAACCGATCAACCACACGCGGCGGGGTGACACACTCCGTGCCCAATCGAGCTGGGGACTGCGCTCGGCTCTACGAGCCGTGCGCCGTGATTCCCCCCACGGAGCCCAGTCTTGTAGCATCTTGATATTATGCTGTGGCACACGCCGCCACGAATAATCGTCATCTCCAACATGATTGCCACCACCACCACCATCATCACCACCATCATCTTCACCATCACTATCATCATCACCATGCGCATCATCATCATCAACAACACCATCATCACTATCACCAACATCGTCGTGATCGCCATCATCATCACCTTTACCATCAACATTTTCACCACCACCACCATCATAATCACCACCTCCATCATCATCATCATCATCATCATCATCATCATCATCATCATCATCACAATTATCATCCTCATCCTAACCGTCAGACGCATCGTCATTATCATCATCATCGTCATCGTCATGGTTATCACCACCAGCACCATCGTCGTCACCATGGTCGCCATCATCACCACCACCATCACCATCACAATCATTATCATCATCACCATCATCATCGCCAACGTCATCATCATCGTCATCATCACCACCATCGTGATCATCATCATCCTCATCTTCATCATCATCATCATCATCATCATCATCATCATCATTACCATCATCATCATCATGATCAACATCACCATCGCCGTTACCATCATCACCACCATCACCATCACCACGACCACCACCATCACCATCACCATCACCATCACCATCATCATCATCATCATCGTCATGATTATCATCATCACCATCACCATCACCACGACCACCATCATCATCATCATCGTCATCATCATCATCATCATCACCTTGATCACCATCACCATCACCATAACCATCATCATCACCACCATCATCATCATCATCACCATCACCATCACCATCACCACCACAACCATCATCATCACCACCACCACCATCATCATCATAACCATCATCACCACCACCACCACCATCATCATCATGATCATGATCATCATCATCATCATCATCACCATCACCATCACCATCACCATCATCAACACTGACACCGTCTCCTTCATCGTCGTCACCCCCCGATGCCGCCGCGGCCCGCCGCCCCCGACAGCTCCTCCTCCGGCAGCCACGGCTGCGGGCGCGGCGGCAGCCGCCCGTACGCGTCTGGCCCCAGCTCCTCCACGAGGGCGGCGTCCAAGTCGCACTCGTCGGCGCCGCCGCCGCCGGCGCCGGCGGCGCCGCCGGGCGGCGGCGCAGGGCGCCGCGCGCGGCGCTCGGCGAAGAGCTCCAGCCGCGCGTCGCGGTGGCCGAACCTCGGGGGCTGCCGAAGGTGTCCCTGGCCCAACAAGGAGGAGGAGGAGGAGGAGGAGGAGGAGGAGGAGGAGGAGGAGGAG